TGGGGAGGACTACACGAGGAAGACACAAATACAGGGAAGACAAACACAGGAGGACTATACGGGGAGGACCACACAGGAAGACAACACGGGAGGACTAAGAATGGGAAGACAAATACAGGGAGGGACTCAAGACGGGGAAGACAACAATGTGAGGGACCACACAGGAAGACAACACGGGGGAGTGGACCCACGGGGAAGACAACACGGGAGGACCACACGGGGAGGACTACACGGGAGGACTACATTGAGAGGACTACACTGGGAAGACAACATGGAGGACCACAGGGAAGACAAACACGAGGAGGATCAAGACGGGAAGACAACACGGGAGGAACACAGCAGTGTAGACCAATGGGAGGAATCCCACATGGGAGGGACCACATCGGAAGACAACATGTGGAGACCACAGGGAAGACACAACACGGGAGGACAACACGGGAAGACAAGACGGGGAAGACAACACCCTGGAGGACCACACAGGGAAAGATGCAAACTACCAGAGTACTAAATGTCGGGAAGACAACACGAGGAGGACAACACGGAGACAACAGGCAAGACTACACTGGGAGGACAACATGGGAGGACTCACGGGAAGACAACACGGGGAAGACCACACGGGAGGACAAACATTTGGGAGATCACACGGGAGGACCATGTGGAGGACAACAAGGAGGACTACACGGGGAAGCACCACACGGGAGGAATCACACAGGGAAGACAACACGGGAGGACTACACGTACACCACATCAGAGGACAACACAGGGAGGACTATACGTGGAGGACAACAGAGACAACATGGGGAGATCACACAAGATGTACTTGGAGGGACCACAGGGAAGACCACATTGGGAGGACTTACACGGGAAGACCACACGGGAGTGGTCCACACAGGAAGACACGGGAGTATCTACACGTAAGGCCAAACGGGGAGTGACAACACGGGAGGACTACACGGGAGGACCACAGGGAAGACAACATCGGGAGGACTACACGTAAAGGTCTGCCACACGAGTAGACAACACAGGAGACTACACGTGGAGGACAACACAGGAGGACAACAAGTGGGAGGGGACTACACGGGGAAGACCACACGGGAGGACCACACCGGGAAGACAACACGGGGAGGACCTGCACGTAGCTAATCTCACACGGGAGGACAACACGGGGAGTGGACCTACACGGGAGGACCACAGGGAAGACAACACAGGGAGGACAACAAGGAGGACAACACGGGGAAGACAACACGTAAAGACCACAGGAGGACAACAAGTGAGGACAATGTACACAACAAGGAGGACCACACACGGGAAGACCACACGGGAGGACCACAACAACAAGGGAACCACGAGACCACACAGAGGACAACAGGGAGAGACCACAGGAGACAGGGAGGACCACACAGGGAGACAACACGGGAAGACAACAAAACCACAGGGAGACAGGGACAACACGGGAGGACCCACACGGGAAAGACAACACGGGAGGCACTACACAAGGAGAAGACCACACAGGGAAGACAACATGGGAGGACTACACGGGAAGACCACACGGGGAGGACAACACGGGGAGGACTACACGGGGAGGGACAAGCACGGGTAGGACTACACGGGAGACAACACGGGAGGACAACACAGGGAGAGAGACAACATGAGGAAGACAAAACGGGAGGACAACACAGGAGGGCTTTCGGGGAGACATCAGGAGGACTACACAGGGAGACAACACAGGGAGGACCACGGGGAAAGACCACAGGGAGGGAACACAGAGAAACCACACGGAGACAACACGTGGAGGACCACAGGTAAGAAAACACAGGGAGGGACAACAACAAGGAGGACTACACGGGGAGAGACTCTTCCGGGAGGACAACACAGGGAGGGACTACACAGGGGAGGGACTACTCTGGGGAGAAGACAACACAGGAGGGACTACACAGGAGGACTACACGAGGAAGACAACACAAGGGAGGACTACACAGGGGGAAGACAACACGGGGAGGACAACACAGGGAGGACAACACAGCGGGAGGACTATACGGGAAGAACAACACGGGGAGGACTACACAGGAAGACAACACAGGAGGGACTACACGAGGAGAGAGACAACACCAGGAGAACAACACAGGGAGGACAACAGGGGAGGGACAACACGGGAGGACTACACAGGAGAAGACAACCTGAGGAAGAACAACACAGGGGAGGACCACACAGGGAAGACAACACGGGGAGGACAACAAAGGGGAGGGACAACACAGGGGAGGACAACCTGGGGAGACCACACAGGGAGGACTACACAGGGGAGACAACACGTGGAGGACCACACTAGGGAGGGACAACAAGGGGAGAGAAAACACGGGAAGACCACACGGGGAGGGACCACAGGAAGACAACACCAGGGAGGACTACACGGGAAAGACCACAGGGGAGGACAACACAGGGAAGGAATACACGGAGAGGGACCACAGGGAGAGACTAGCACGGGAGGACAACAGGGGAGGGACTACACAGGAGGGACAACACGGGTAGGACTACACGGGGAGGACAACACAGGGAGGACTACACAGGAGGGACTACACGGAGAGAGAAGAAAAAACAGGGAGGACAACACACAGGGAGGACCACCGGGGAAGACAACACAGGGAGAGACAACACGGGAGGACTACAGGGAAGACCACAGGGAGGACAACACAGGAGGCAACACAGGGAGGACAACAGGAGACAACACAGGAGGAACAACCAGGGGAGGAAAACCTGGGGAGGACAACCTGGGACCAACACAGGAGGAAGAAACACAGAGACAAAACAGGGAGAGGAATACACAGGGAACAAAACACAGGGAGGAAGAAAACACAGGGAGGAATACACAGGAACAAAACACAGGGAACAAAACACAGGGAAGAATACACAGGGAACAAAACACGGGGAGGAACACAGGGGAACAAAACACAGGGGAGGAATACACAGGGACAACACAGGGAACAAAACACAGGGAGGAAAAAACACAGGGGAGGACATACAGGGAGACAAAACACAGGAGATACACAGGACCTGGGGAACCAAAAACACAGGAGGAAAACACAGGGAGGGAACACACAGGGACAACACAGGGAACAAAACACAGGGGAGGAAAACACAGGAGAGAATACACAAGGACAACACAGGGAACAAAACACAGGGAAGGGAAACACAGGGGGACTACACAGGGACAACACAGAGACAAAACACAGGGAGGAAAACACAGGGAGGACTACACAGGGACAACACAGGGAACAAAACACACAGGGAGAGAAAACACAGGGAGGGGACTACACAGGGGACAACACAGGGACAACACAGGGAGGAAAACACAGGGGACAACACAGGGAACACAAAACACAGGGAGGAAAACACAGGAAGGACTACACAGGGACAACACAGTAGGGAAAAACACAGGGAGGGAAAACACAGGGGACAACACAGGAACAAAACACAGGGAGAGGAAAACACAGGGAGGACTACACAGGGACAACACAGGGAACAAAACACAGGGGAGAGGAAAACACAGGAGGGACTACACAGGGACAACACAGGGACAAAACACGGGAGGAGAAAACACAGGGAGGAGAAAACACAGGAGAGAAAACACAGGGAGGGAAAACACAGGAGGACTACACAGGGACAACACAGGGACAAAACACAGGGAGGAAAACACAGGGAGGGAATACACAGGGGACAACACAGGAACAAAAACAGGAGGAAAACACAGGGAGGAAAACACAGGGAGGAAAACACAGGGACAACACAGGGAGACAAAACACAGGAGGAAAACACAGGAGAATACACAGGGACAACACAGGGAACAAAACACAGGGGAGGAAAACACAGGGAGGACTACACAGGGACAACACAGAGACAAAACACAGGAGAGGAAAACACAGGGGAGGAATACACAGGGACAACATAGGGAGGAAAACACAGGAGGAGAAAACACAGGGAGGACTACACAGGGACAACACAGGGAGGAAAACACAGGGAGAGGGAAAACACAGGGAGGACTACAGGGACAACACAGGGAACAAAACACAGGGAGGAATAGGGACAACACAGGGAGAGAAAACACAGGGAGGAATACACAGGGGACAACACAGGGAACAAAAAACACAGGGAGGAAAACACAGGGAGGAATACACAGGGACAACACAGGAACAAAACACAGGGAGGAGGAAAACACAGGGGAGAATGCTGGGGACAACTCAGGGAGGAATACAGGGAGAGGGAAAACACAGGGAGGGACTACACAGGGACAACTCAGGGGAGGAAAACACAGGAGGAAAACACAGGGAGGACTACACAGGGACAACTCAGGGAACAAAACACAGGAGGAAACACAGGGACAACAGGGAGAGAAAACACAGGAGGAATACACAGGGACAACACAGGGAACAAAACACAGGGAGAGAAAACACAGGGAGGAATACACAGGGACAACACAGGGAACAAAACACAGGGGAGGAAAACACAGGGAGGAATACACAGGGACAACACAGGGAACAAAACACAGGGGAGGAAAACACAGGGAGGAATACACAGGGACAACACAGGGAGGAACAAAACACAGGGAGGAAAACACAGGAGGGAATGCACAGGGACAACTCAGGGAGGAATACACACAGGGAGGAAAACACAGGGAGGACTACACACAGGGACAACTCGGGGAGGAATACACAGGGGAGAAAACACAGGGAGGACTACACAGGGACAACTCAGGGAGACAAAACACAGGGGAGGGAGAAAACACAGGGGAGAGATACACAAGGACAACACAGGAACAAAACACAGGGAGGGAGAAACACAGGGGAGGAATACACAGGGACAACTGGGGAGGGACAACACAGGGAGGAAAAAACACAGGGAGGAATACACAGGGACAACACAGGGAGACAAAACACAGGGAGGAAAACACAGGGAGGAATACACAGGGACAACACAGGGACAACACAGGGAGAGGAAACACAGGGACAACACAGGGAGGACTACACAGGGAGACAAAACTGGGGAGGACTACACAGGGAGACAAAACACAAGGAGGACTACACAGGGACAACACAGGGAACAAAACACAGGAGGAAAACACAGGGAGGAATACAGGGAGGACTACACAGGGACAACACAGGGGAAAAAACACAGGGAGGGAAAACACAGGGACAACACAGGGAACAAAACACAGGGAGGAAAACACAGGGAGGAATACACAGGGGACAACACAGGGAGGGAAAACACAGGGAGGAATGCACAGGGACAACTCAGGGGAACAAAACACAGGGAGAAAACACAGGGAGGAATACACAGGGACAACACAGGAGGAAAACACAGGGAGGACAACACAGGGAGGAATACACAGGGACACACAGGGAGGAAACAGGAGGGAAAACACAGGAGGAATACAGACAACAAGGAAATAAAACACAGGAGGAAAACTGGGACAACATAGGACAACACAGGGAAAAAACACAGGGAGGAAAACACAGGGACAACACAGGGAACAAAACACAGGGAGAAACCACAGGGAGGAATACACAGGGACAAACACAGGAGGAAAACACAGGGAGAAATACACAGGGACAACTCAGGGAACAAACACAGGAGGAAAACACAGGAGAACAACAGGGACAACACAGGAGGAAAACACAGGGAGGACAAACACAGGAGGAATATACAGGGACAACACAGGGAACAAAACACAGGGAGGAAAACAGGACAACAGTAGGACAAACACAGGAACAAAACACAGGAGGAAACACAGACAACACAGGGACAACACAGGAACAAAACACAGGAGGAAACACAGGAGCAGCACAGGAGGACACAGGATAACACAGGAGCAGCAGCAAGGCCAACACCACACACCGACAATGACAGTCACCCACGCCGGCCCGTGTCTGGTCAAACCTGCCCCCCAACCGGAGCACAGGGACAACACCTCTGGTGCTACAGCCACGTGTGTTACTCCTGGCTAACCTAACCTAACCCAACCTGACCTAACCTAACCCAACCTGACCTAACCTAACCTAACCTCACTTAACCTAACGTAATTCAACCAAACCTAACCTACGGACGCCTCACTTCACTTAGCCAAACCTAACCCAACCCAGCTGGCCTCACCTCACAATATACATTATGAACATTTGACGCGATTATATACATTTATAAAAATAACTTAACATGATATAACCTAACCTAACATGATCTAACTTAACCTAACCTAACCTAACTTAATTTACCCTAACCTTATTGAGACCAAACATTTTTACCCTAATCTAACCTAACCGTACCTAACCTTAACCTAGCCTCTCCTACCCTCAATCTAATAACTTACCCTAACTAAGTCTAACCTAACCTAACCTGTCTTAATCCCTTGAGTTCGATGACTTAACTTATTGAGTACGATATCTGACTCCTCTAAATATAACAACATCGTACTGTACTACGAAGGTTAAGTTTTCTTACTCAAAGGATTAATTATGATTGATTTTAAGTTGGTGAAGTGTTGCGTGTGTCTATGTAACTTATTAACGGAAATAACGTGACGTTCATGCTTGTGTACAATTTGTCTCTCTCTCGCTGGCAAGACGCACAGTGTTGGAGAACTACCACGAACAAGAGCATTTGGAAAAACACGTATGGAGAGTAAAATTCTTATCGTCCGCTAGCTAATGTTCCATAGTCACCACACTCCCATACATTTGGTTAGCTCAAGTCATAAACTTTCATAAGAATAAGTAATATCTTAACTAATCATATAAGAGGAATGTAGCTAAGATTGAGTCAAAGAGTTTTAGTCAACAACACATTATATGGTGAGTCACTCATTCAATATACCTGTATATAGTAGAGAGGTTGGAAAATGGCTTATGTGAGTCCTATCTTCAAGAAAGGCGATCGTCACTCCACGAATAACTATAGACCTGTAAGCCTAACCAACAAAGTACTTGAGAGCATTATATAAGATGCGCGATGGAACATCTACGAAACAACCTTGTAAAAGATTGCCAACACGGTTTTATGCCGGGGCGCTCCTGTTTAACACAATTGCTCAAGGTATTGGATATTTGGACCCATATATCTGGAATGGGATGGTAATATCGACAATATTTACCTATATTTTGCCAAGGCTTTCGACAGTGTACCCTATGAAAGGCTGAAAATTAAACTGGAATGGTATGGGATTCGGGGAAATGTCCTCGCGTTGATCGGAGACGTTCTCCATGACCGCAAGCAGTGTGTGGTGATTAATGGCACGAAATCATCATGTGTACCTGTCACAAGTGGGGTACCACAGGGCAGTGTATTGGGCCTGCTGTTGTTTGTTTGTTTCATAAATGACATGCCTGACGCTGTACACTCCTCCATACAAATGTTTGCGGACGACGCCAAGTTATTTCGGGAAATCAAGAACCAAGCAGATTGTGAAGAGCTGCAGAAGGATCTCTGTGAGCTTCAAGAATGGTCGAAGAAATGACTGCTGAGATTCAATGTCACGAAGTGTAAGAGGCTGCACCTGGGACGTACCAACGGTAAGGAGGCGTATCATATGTTCCATTGGGACGAAAAACTGTATTAATTGAGACTGAATGTGAGAAGGACCTAGGTGTGTATGTTGACAATGACTTGAAGTTCTCGGGCCATTGCGAGAAGGTAAATCAGGCAAACAAATTACTAGGTCTTACTAGAAGGTCGTTCAGATATCTAGACGGACTGTCGTAACGATCTTCAAGAGTGAAGTACTTCACCGCCTGGAGTACTGTCACCCCGTCTGGTCCCCGAGATATGCTAGGGACTGTCAGTTGATTGAAAAATCCAAGGGAGGGCCACCAGACTGGTGGCACCTCAGCTGCCCTGAGAGATTAGAGCGCCTGAAATTGCCTAGCTTATACTACAGACGGGCAAGGGGAGATCTAATTGAGGTGTATAAGCATCTCAAAGGGCACTACTCAGTCGAGTGCCCTTACCTGGAGCTGGCGGACGCTCGCCCCACAAGGGGTCACAGCTCAAGGTTGAAGAAGCCGCAAGCCCAGAAAACTGTGAGGGCAAACTTTTTCGGAGTGAGATTTGTGAACTCAAGGAACAATCTGCGAGAGAGTGTTGTGACGGCACCGAGTGTGAGTTCTTTCAAGACCAGAATGGATAAGCACTGGAGCCGGTTGATACATTCAGAAGCCAGTGCATGCCCAGTACTTGTCAACAGTGCGTAATAGAGACGTCACCGATCGCCCAAGCGGCTAACGAGCGATCAGTGGTGAAGAGGATAAAAGTAAAAAAAAAAGAATAGGTAGAGTCTATGGGCAGTAGTGTTGTTGTTGTGGTATAGTGGAGGTAGTCTGCCTGTCACTCAGCTGGCCCAGGACACAAACCAGTCTGAAATAAGTCTAATTAATCCACTGTTTTAGCTCTATATATGTCAACATTTAAGGCTTTATTAATCTTTGAGTTAAAATATGAGATTAAGAAGGAACATAAAGACAAAGATGTCCAGCTCTCAATGTGCGTCAGTGTCACAGCTCCTCTCGGCGTCAGTGTCACAGCTCCTCTCGGCGTCAGTGTCACAGCTCCTCTCGGCGTCAGTGTCACAGCTCCTCTCGGCGTCAGTGTCACAGCTCCTCTCGGCGTCAGTTTACACAGTTGGTAGAAAATCAATCATTATGATCAGAATCCCACAGTGTTAAGTCGCTGACCTTGACACACAAGCACTGATGACCATTTAACCTCACCGACGAGGTAAGAGACACAGGTCAGTATCACTCATTGTCTCAGTTCGGCCTGGAAGACTGACTGAACGAGCGGAGCGTGCCATGCCGTTTGCCCACACACGATTCAGTTCTGCCTGAAGGCCGGACCTGCGAACCAGCACACACACACACGCTCAAACCAGTCTTCAGGCCGAGCAACTACAACTGTTGCAACCATGAAACTGCAGTGGACGATCAAGCTGCAGCAAGGAACAGTTCCCGCTGGCAGGACGGTAGGGATCAAGGCTGCTTCTACCCCCCACCCAACACCCCCCAACTACCCCACACACCATCCCACCCACCACCTCACCCACCAAACCACCCACCACCCCACTATCAGGCACCGGGAAAGCGAGGCACAGTTTGGCAGTAATTTTTGTGTTGGGTGGAGGGCAAAGTAGCTGTCAGTGATCAAGGTACTGTGTTAAGTGAGTGGGTAGACAGGCAGATGATAGACATAATACCTGTACATACATACATACATACATACATACATACATACATACCTGTACATACATACATACATACATACATACATACAAACATACATATACTGTATATAGTACCAATTCAGTAAAATCGTCTTAGAAATTTACATCGGTTCAGCATGTATGTATAAACGGTTCACGTACACAAACAATGTTCATAATATACTCAGGCAGTGGAGAAATAAAAACAACGTACAGTCTCGTTCAAGATTCTTCGAACACTGCTGGAGACACCTGGCAGCTCAAAGCCGTTTGTTTACTACGGAGTATAAATTGTGAATAAATATAAAAGGTTATCGGTGATTGGTTACTTAGTTCCCTGTTGCATAATTAATGGTTGGGCTTTGTTGTTTCGTATTAAATTATACTACGTACTATAGTAAACAAACGGCCTTGAGCTGCCAGGTGTCTCCAGCAGTGTTCGAAGACTGTACATGAGAGATACACGAATAATGTACATAGGAAGTGCAGGTAAACAAACAATGTATACACAGAGAGTACGGATATATAAACAAACAATTTACATAAACACTGCAGGTATAAACAAATATTAAACACTGTGTCGATTCAACTGAGCACGAAGTACATTTGTATGACACTTTTACCAAGAAACACACACTCTCTCTCTCTCTCTCTCTCTCTCTCTCTCTCTCTCTCTCTCTCTCTCTCTCTTTTATCTCAAGTTCATGTGCGTGCTTGAGGCCAACTTGCCTCCTCCCCCTCCTCCACCTCCTTCAGTAGTTACTGTCAGTGATGCCATTTCAGTGTAATTAATCCTTACCGACTGACTCCCTACTTGACTGATTTGACTGAAGGAACCTCATTCATAATCACATAATAGGGTATCAAGTTGAGCCAGTTCAATATAACAGTCACATCAAAATCGTCCAAAAATTTCCAGTTAGTCAGTCAGTCATCATGAGGAATAAAAAAAAATGATGATAATAATAATAATAATAATAATAATAATAATAATAATAATAATAATAATAATAATAATAATAATAATAATAACAATAATAATAATAATAATAACTCTAGGTATACAAGGATTAGACTAGAATACATATGATAGCTTTCCTTTATCCCTTCCCTTTCACCCCTTGTTGTGTCAGGGTTAAGGGGTACTGGTAGTCATATTTCGTGTCAGTGTTAGTGGTCATTTTCCCATAAATTTATCGAAAAACAACAACACTGCTACTTGCCACAGGTGCTCGTGTTAATTAGTACAGGGACAATATATTCAGCAAGACATTATTAATTTAGACCTATCTCTCTCATGTATAACTGCTACCTTGTCTAACGCACCAAATTGTCTAAATTTAACAAAATCCGACCTATAATTATTCATCAACAAAGAAAACGGAATCTTCTGATATCATTTAAACTAACTGAATATAATCAAAAGTTTCCAAAGTTTACATGATCGAAACTAATCTCAGGATACCTAGCTGAGTGTGAATTATAGTTGCTTATTTCTTAATTGTATACTTTTCATTATAATTTCACCGCGTATTAGCTTACGAGTCGTTCGAGCGGTTGGTCTGTTCTTTGGGACGACCTTTACTGTCCAGTGTTATTACAGGAGGAAACTAGGGTA